CCCGCCGCCGCCCGACCTCCAAAAAGCTGAAAGAATTATTATTGAGAGTCATAGCCCATAACCCCTCCAACTCGCCCCGCGACCCTCAACGAAGAACAGGACATATCGGCCCTGCCAAGCGACGCCCGGAAAGGAAGGGAGAGTGACCTCCGCCCCGCGCCCAGGACTACCCTTGGAGGGAGAAGCCGCCCCGCGGCCCGCCACCCGCCCCGCCGCCGCGGAGACCCGAGTGAGTGAGTGGGGGGCGTGCGGGCTGGGGGGGGGTGCTGAAACCCAACAGTCTCGACGTCTTCGCCGACCCCCGCCCCACTCCTGCTCTTCATTTGCTGGACGCTCCACGTTGCTGTCTCCCCCCCGCCCCACGCCTAGCTAGCATTTTCCTATCACCTTCCACCTCCTCTTGAGAAACCCCTCTTTCCTCTGTGCTCATTACCCCTCTTCACGCTTGCTCTCATCCTGGGGTACCCCAGGGCCCCCTTCTCTCCCATTTCCAAGTATGGCCCCCTCCTGGGTGGGGTGCATTGCCTCCCTTGTCCGCCTCCCTCAGTTCTTCATATCCTGGAGACTCGCTAGATATTTTTTGCCCCCCCCAAAAAATATAATTCACTATTAAATAAATTAGAGGAAGAAAGGGGATCCAGGCCTTGTTTTTCTGCTTCTTTTCCCGTGTGCGGGTAAGGGGGTTGGTAATAATTAATAGGGTTTATTTCTGCATCAAGGGTGGACACCCCCCCACTTTGGACCGGTCACTGGTGACTGTCCTCTGGCCTCTGAGCCAGAATTCACCATTCAGGCTTAAGCTTTTCATCCTCTTCAGTGTTTTCAGGGAAAACTGGGCGGAAAAAACATACCCTTAGAGCAATACCAGTAAGTGGATTCCGGTTGATCCCGGTGAGGTGTCTGGGAGGAAGAGACCTACTGCTAAGCTCCCTGCCCTCCTGTCAGTAGATGGACTGTGCCCTTGACCAGGAGAGGAGGGGCAGCTGGTAGGCCCTTTCCCACCCCCACCCCACCCCCGCCCCAGAGGACCTGGAATCCCACACGGCAAGCTGCAGGCTTCAAATTGGGGGCCAGCAGAGGGAGTTTCTGGAGTGGGGGGCTTGCTGCTCAGTATTCTAACCTTTCTTCTTCTTCCTACCCACCCTACCCTGGGAGTGGGTCCCTCATCTTTGATTTTCCAGCAGAAAAACACCCCTATTGCTTTCTTGGGCACCTGCCCCCATCCCCCTCTTAAGCAGAGGGAGAAAGAAGCTTGTGTGGGAGGACGGATTAGGAAGGTTTAACACCCTGTAGGGGAGCTTTGGCGAGGATCTGGTTAGTCTGGTCATAGAGCAAGCAAGCCTTGCAGTGGGAGGAGACTCACAAACAATTTTAAGTATTAGAAGACGATGTTCAGGTGTCAGATGTACAGTTTTTCCTTCCCTACCCGGGAACCTTTTCCCATTGCCCTCCCCGGGTCTGGTTACTCAGACTTGGATTAGAAGAGAGGTGAGGCTTGGGCTTTGCTGGCGTCCGGCCTGCTGATTGTCGGCCTCTCTGCAACTTAACAGGAAATTTCTTTGGCCGAGAGGCCAGGAGAACTGGGTTTAATTCTTGCCTTTCCTTTCCTGGCTGTTAGGGTGCTGGAGCCTAGCCCGCTGGACATTAAGTGGAAAGACTTCTCCTTTTGAATCCACTGTCCCTAGAGCAACTCCAGGCAGAGACCACCAAGCCCAAGGAATACGGATTAAGCGGCAGGAGTGAGGGTGGGAATGTGACCTTATCTATTCCAGCCCACTGCCTTCACCCAGAAAAAACTCATTTTGAAGCAGGTCCTTAATTCAGCAGTCATGGGAGGCGGTGAAAAGAAAGGGGGGAAAAGTTCAGCCTCTCGAGAAGCCGAGACATGGATATGGTGGGGTAATACAATACGGGGAGTAGGCCTTGTGGGTAGAATTTATATAAAATGTGTTAGGCGGTGGGCGGGGGCGGGGGGCGTCCTCCACAGTGCGCATGTGCATCGGAAACTTTTCTTTGGTCCTCCGACCCTCGTCCAGCTCTCCTTACCAGGCATGCGTAGTTCGCCAGCTGAGCGTTCGCAGAGTACGCAGGGAGGTGTAGTGTGCAGAGAAAGTAGGTCAGTTGTTCCAACCCGATCGTGGGGTTTCTGAGGACTACAATTCCCAGAGTGCATAGCGCGACGTCGCCGCCGGCCTCCCGGTTAATGTTAGGGCTCAGTCAAGTCTCCTGGCTTGGGAGAAACCTGGAGTACCCCAAAAAAGGCCCTTTTAGTCTGAAAGAGACTTGCAGTCAGACTTCACCTGGCACAGCGCATGTTTGGGGGAGACGGTGTGAGACTGGGTGGGGTGGTACAGTCAGTCGGCACAAGTCCTAGAAGCCTTTCAGCCACACCCTCCCGTCTGGGCCGCTGCCTCCGAGACCGGTGGGGTGGGGCTGTCCCTGTCCTGCCGGAGCCAAGCTCTCACTCCCCAGCACCTAGTTTGTGACACCTACTGGCCTTGTCAAAATTGAGGCCCTCTTCCTTCTTTCCACACTCATTTGAGTCTTGTAGTGCTTGATCGCAGAGCAATCTGGATGTTAAGGCTTGAGGTGGCTGAATACATTTTTATAGGTGCTTATGGTTAGGGGGCCTGATGGGTTATCGCCATTATCCCTCCTTTTCCTTTTTAAAACATAACTGTTTTCCTTAAAAACCTTTGCATTTTTGTTAAAAGTTCTCTCTGGAACCGCCATTACCATATTATTGACTACAGCTGCCTTTCTTCCCCCCGCCCCCCTCATTTTTGCCTCTCTTTTAAGGACTTTAAAATACAGATCCTGGAAGGGATCTGAATCCAGGATTAACTTTGTTGCTGGAAGTAAACAAGTAAAAGAGAATAAAATTGACAGAATTCATTCTCGCATTTGCAACTTTTTAATATACTGACAAAAGGTAGACTTTGCTATTGTTAAGCACTTAGCCCCCCCCCCCCCGCCCCCGCCTCTTTTTGCCACCTTCCTGGCCTTTTGCACTTGAGTCAGGGTTGTAAGAGGTCTTAAGAGTCCTGTCCTGCTGCTTACCTCAAATCTACTTGTTCTTTTTATTGAAAGGTAGTTATTTCTAAGCTTTCTAATCTTACCCACA